AAAGCAAGTCCACTTTGGGCAGGAGAAGGCAGGGGCAGGGGCTGAGCTGGATGCATGAAAATCCCCCAGAACCAGGCCTGAGTGTTCACGCACACCTGCACACAGTGGGGTGCAGCCCTCACGAGCAGTTTTGTCTCTGCCTTGCTCTCTCCAGCGCCGGTGTGGCTGCCGGGCACCTGACTACCTTGTCGCACTGTAGAACCTGATAGAAACCCGAGGATGGGGGCCAAAGACAGATAGTTCTGGGGCTCCTCCGAACCTGCTGTGTCTAGGGGCCCTCCTAGGTGGTGTTCCAAGAAGCAGATCCTGAGCAAAGGTTTCAGCAAGGTATTATGAGGTCTGGATCAGCAAAACCAATGAGGTCACAGGGCCATTAGAACAGGAAGGGGAAGAAGTTAAGAAAGTAGAGTCTCAGGCTTAGCTTAGTCCCTTAAGGACACCCCAGGGCTTTTTCCCATTTTGAGGCAAAGGCGCTGTGCACCTGTCTCTGGAGGGCCGGGAGAGAGGAGCTATCAGCTCCCAGCACATCCAAGTCAGGTGGCTCCCAGAACCCAGAGCAACCTTCCAAAAGCTGCCCCGGCAAGCTACAGGCAGCAAAGCACACACCGGGGCTGGGCTCAGAGCCTGAGAGAACCCCAGGGGACCTGAGCAGGGCAAGGGCCCAGAGCCCTGCGATGGTGTGACTGCTCATGTGCCCCTGGGGGACAGCGGAGGGAGTGTGGACTTCTCACCCCTGACCCTAACTTGGAGATATCCCCTCCAGCTTGTCCACCTCGCTCCTTTCCCAGAGGGTGGGTGGTTCCATCTCTCCTGATGGGTGCTGGCAGGAAACAGGTGACCTTGCTGCCTGCCCTCCACGCGCCTGCCCTTGCCCCAGCTCCAGGGCCAGGCACAGCCCCACCCCCACCCCCAGCTCCCCCTTGAACGTGCAACTCTGTCACCACTTCCTCCTCGACAGATGGATTATAGCAAGTTCATTTTCTGTATCAGTCACATCACAAATCATTAAGCATATTGACAGAGTGGAGCGGGCTGTGTACTGACTGGGGCGTGTTTCCACTGGAGAGAGGGGTGCCACTCCCTGCCCTCAACCTGGAGCCTGGCTCTCCAGGGCCCCAGCCAGCGGCCCCACCCTGGCTCCCATCCAGTGGGCAGAGTTCAACATGGTCTACCCCTGCTCCTGCCGGGTCCTCCCATAGCCCCCACTTTGCTTGCTGGCCTTGTGAACCAGACACAGAAGGGCTTGCCAAAGGGCAGCCTGGCTCTGAATTCGTCCAATAGCGAAAATATCTACTCGGGGCCTCAGCATGTGAGGATTTGATTCCTCCTTCAAGGAGCCACAAGGACTCCAAGGTCATTTTCTCCCCGACCGGCCTGGGCATTCCCCACTTTCCGATAACGTGAGACTTTCAGTGCTCTTAACACTATCTCATAATCTTCAAAACTCCACTCAGTTCTTGTTTTTATTGGCATTTTAGGAGGCCCGGAGAAGTCCAAGGTCACACATGCTTGGATGAAGTGGCGGGGGGCTGGGTTTCAAGGCAAGTGCATCTGGCTTTATAGTCAGCACCCTTAATAGCCGAGCTCTATCTTCGCCTTCCTGCTAAGGTTCCCCCATTAGGCAGTTCTCAGTCTGAGTGCTTTCTGATATCTAACTGAATTCCCTCTAATCGTAACTTGCGCATTTCCTCGCTCTCTTCCAGAGTCCACCTTCTCACACACAGTCCACCTTCTCAATAAACGTCGCTTACTGATGAACAGATGCTGGCTCCACCCACTGCCTTTTCTTTCCCGGATATACTCCCAGTGCTGGTTTTAGCACAGGTGGGGGGAGGCGGGGAGACGGGAAGAGGAAGAGGAATACATGATAGACAGAATAATACCCTGTTAAAGATGTGTATATCCTCATTCTCAGAACCTGCAAATTGCTACCTTACAGGATAAAGAGACTCTTTGCAAACGAGGTTAAATTAAGCATCTGGAGAGGAGAAGATTATCCTGGATTATTCGGGTGGAGCCAGGGTAACCACGGGTTCTAAGAAGGAGGCGGTCGTGTACCAGTGCAAGGAGAGACCAGAGAGATTAGCGGGTGCTACCTTGCTGCCTTTGACGATGGAAGAGGGGATGCAAACCAAGAGGTGGAGACCGCCACTGGAAGCTCGACAAGGCAAGGACTTTCCTGTCAGAACTTCCGGAAGGAGCACAGCTGTTCCTGTCAGTGAGTCTTACCCTCCTGGACCTCTAGAACTATACAAGAAAAATTGTGTTGTTTTAAGCCACTTGGTTTGTGGTCTTTTGCTTATAGCGCAACAGGAAAGAGATGCTTGAGGTCAAGCAAAAACACTGTCCAGACATTTTAGGGATCTGGTCTAGGGTATATTTCCATAAAATCTGGGTGCTGAATGGAATCCTTAAAGATCACCCAACCCTACTTTCTCACTTTACACAGGAGTAAACTACTACTGACACCCTACAATATCCTATTGTCTTTATTTATAAAATGGCCACATCAATGGCTATCTTTTGAGAGAGAAAAAAATGAAAGATTATCCGCTACCTAAAGAGATAGAAAATTATTGGACTTTTGTCACAAAAGCAAGAAACCCTAAGGGATGAATTCTGCCCTAGTTCACACATTTAGCTGAGCCTGCTCTCGGTTAACCCTTCCCGGTGTTCTCCACACTTTATCCGGTCTATCACCAGGTGGTAGGTACTTACTGGGCTAGAGACTAACATGAGGGAACGGGCAAAATTTCACAAAGCACTGCCACAAATCCTCCTAGAACCTGGCGTCCACCAGCTGAGCTCGACCCTGACACACACACCTATGCGGACAGGCGTGCAGCACTCCCGCCATAATTCAAGCAGCTCCACAAGCCATCCCTACCTCTTCCTCCAAGAAGTCTTCCCAGATAGACAGAGAAACATCATCCCAACCATCATCATTTCCTGAACTACCATGTTGCCCTAGACACACTTGTCTCACTCTGTTCCCTGTACCTGTTCACCCCATCTTTTGTCTGTATCACGCAAAGAGCCTCTGGGAGTCTAACTCAGTGGTGACCCCTTGACACATACCCTGCCCGCTCCTGTGCCTTTAGGACTCACTTGTACAAGCCCTCAGGAGGTGGCAACGCCTTACATGTAGCCTGCTTGCCTCATCCTAGCCCAGGCCTGTGGGACGGTGTGTGAGCATGTGCCCTCGGCCACCCTCGAGGCCACCCCACAGTGGCCTCCCTTTCCCCAAGTCCTGGCACATACAGCCCCCATCCTTGCCGTCATAACCCCAATACTTGACACCCCACACCGCCCTCCCTGACAACCTCCCCCAATGCCCTGGGTCTGAAGGCAGATTCCCGCTGCTCTGGCAGAAACCACCATGGAAGAAGAATTGTGCTGTGATTTTCAGAGGAAATTGAAATCCCCTCTTTACTGCTTTCTAAATGAACATTATAATTTTTCCTTGTCTGCAACATCCCTGTGTTCGGCCTCCTCTGTAGAGCGAGTGAGTGGTGTGTGTGTGTGAGAGAGAGAGAGAGGGAGAGAGACAGAGTATGTGACAGGCACCAGCTGGGTGTGTGCCTCTGGCAGATCTGTGAAGGACCGTCATCCCACTGGGTGGGCATGTGCTCTGTGGAGAGGAGCCACCACGACACAGAACAGCCTCTCCCCACTTGACGTGTGGGCTCTCGGGTGGGAACCTGAGACAGAAATGGCTTGGCTGAGCCTGAATCTGCCAGTGCAGGCCTGGACCAGCCTGCCAGCGGGCACTCAGGACAGGGTGGCCCTGGAGAGAGGTGGCCCGGAACTCTGGAGAGCAATGAGGCTGTGGATGAAAGGGCCGGAGGAAGGCCTTGGGAAGCCAAGAACACAAGGCAGACACAACACAGAGGGGTCTAGAAGAACAACCTAGAAGGAGAGAGGGGAAAGGCCCCCTGACCCCGGAGTAGGTGGGCCATGGGCACGTTAGCTGCACCAGCAGCACCTGGCCCTCCAGAAAACCCTAACCCTCCCCAGGTCTTGCTCCTTATCCAGGGAGGGTGGGAAACAGACCCCAATATCACTAAGCAGGAGCAGGAAAGGAAGAGTCCAGGCAGAGGGCGGGCCAGCACCATCCCTGTGGCGAGGAGTGGGCTGCTTTCTGAGCACCTTGCTCCCTCCGAGAGCCTCCCTCAGGGCTCACATATTGAGGTGCAAACCTACTTTTTTTACTACTTTTTTTTACTACCTTTTTATTTACTGCACCCCACAGCAGGCTGCTGGGACCCAAAGGTGAGAAAAGGGGCATCAAGATCCCTATATGCTAAAACAAGCACACGTAGGGCCTGCCTTGATGCTGGCCCAGGCACCACCCGACTCTCTCTCGGAGGTGTGAATGACAGGTTGGCTGGAGCTGCTGCAGTGCTCCTGACAGAAACAGCATTGGTGGGAGCGGATGTCACGCCTGGGGTCGGGGTCCCTGCTCCAAGACTGCCTTGGCCATGGGGAGAGCCTACACTGAGAAGACCCTGGCTCCTCACTCTGGCAGAAAACATCTGCTTAGGCAGCTGGCCTGTTGAGCTGCCTTGCACCAGCCTGGGCAGGGGTTTGGAGAGTGGAGGTGGCCTAGGGACAGCAGAGCAGCCAGCGTGGTAGGCTTTTGCTGTGGCAAGGGCGAAGGCGCCGTCCATAGGGCAAGGCACATTGCCAAGGGGCACTGCCAAAGCCCCCTGGCCAGGAGCCCACCCAAGAAGGCAGCCTGCCTGGCCCTGGGATGCCCGATATGAGGGGCCAGGAGGTAAGGGGTTTGGAAAAGGTGAACTGGACTAGAACCCCCACTTCGGAGAACTCAAGCCCGTGAGTCCACATGGGCCAGAGAAGCACAACCGACTTTCAGCTGGGAAAGGCCCTCTCAGCTCCCCACTGCCCCCTAGTGCCAGTGTCTGGTACAGGCGCCCTCCCCTCAGCTGGCCTCTACCCCGGAGTGCCCTGGAGCAGGGAGAGGAAGTCGGCCAGAGGGAAGCTGTCTCTGGCTCTCCACCCTGGCGGGGAGGATTAAGGAGCAGACTACCCCAGCCTGCTGCAGGCTTTGGGGCCACGGCCACCAAGAAAGGTGAGTTCCAATCAGATGTGAGATGGGGAGCTTTAAATTGGATTTATTTCCAAAACGAAATAAATATTTATAACCAAAAAGAAATTCTAGATTCTGCCTGAGACACTGTCAGGGGACAGAAAAGAGAGATTCAACAGCATACCATTGGAAAGTGACTTGAGAAAAAATTTAAATATTTCATGTTTATGCCCAACTGAATTGAGCTTGAACGATACACCAGTTCCATGAGGGACAGACTCCCTTAGACAAGCTCAGTGTGCTTGTGTGTGGGAGGAGAGTATGCATGAGGAGATGTGCAGAATAATAAACGGGAACTAGAGGCCCAAGGAAGTTCTAGCACTGGGAGCTTCTGCGGGCTAGGTGTGGTTCAGGAGCTGAGACCCACTGCTGGGCATAGCAGAAAGCCATTAAACTCCTCTGTGCCTTGGTTTCCTTACATATTAAGTGGGGGTGCAGTCCCTATAGGAAGCTGTGAGGATTTGTAACAGGGGTCCCCAGGAAAAGGGAGGTTCCAGGTTCCCTGCCCCACCCAGAAGGAGGGCGGAGCAGAGGAGAGAGGAATCTGGAGGGGAGACTGAAGAGAAGGAAGCAGGATGGAGCAGGAGGTGACTTGAGGGAGCCACATGGAGCAGAGACAGGTGAAGAAACTGCGTTTGTTTCCTTGCCCTGGACTGGTTGAAACAGATGTGGGTGGGAGGCCGGCAGGGAGGTGACTATGGCAGTGTTTATCTTGATTTTGATTTTGCTCTTTTCCTCCCAGACTTGTCTGGCTGTTTCTGGCCCTTTTATATGGGTCCCGGCCAGAAGGTGCTTTAGCCTTGTGACGGGCTTTCAGGCCTTGCTTTGTGCCAATCCCTTTTGGGTGGACTTTTACCCACCAGGGGATGGGTAACTTTGGGTGTTTGATTTAGAAACTAGATTCTTTGTCTTTTCTGTATTGCACACTCATTGTATTAAAGTTCCTTTCCATTAAAGCTCTTCTGTCTTATCTTGATGCAGCAGATGGCAGAAGCTATTTAGAGCAGGCAGGTTTAGGGGTTCAGTGGTGCCCCTCTCTCCCTGCCCTGTAACAGACTCCAATGGTGTAAACAGGAGTTTAATGGCAGAAGACTGAGTCTTTCTCGTCTCAGTGGGGCTTGTGGTCCAGGGTGGCCCAGAACCTACATGTGGGCCTCTGGCTGACTGTGCCAGCTTCTGCCTCTGAGGTCACTGTCTGATCCTCCTGGATTTCAGGGTTCAGCCTTTTGGGAACAAGAAGTTGATTGGCCCAGCCCTCCCGGTCTGGACAGAATCTTTTAAACCAGCCCTTCGTAAGCCACCGGACACACAGAAACATGGCCAACCAGGGCTGCCTTTCCGCCAGAGACTGCAGGTGGGTGGGAAGGGGGCGGACTGGAGAGCCAGGCAGGCACATCTTACACAATCAAGGAGACCTGTTCACTGTCTCCACGCTGTAGTGATGGTGATTAGGATTGGAAAGGGATTAGGAAGGCTCTATCAACGATAATACTTCAAACCTCATCTGTGTGCTCCAGCAAGGCTATGTAGCCAGTAGGTCAGGCGGTGTGTGGAGGAGGAAACCGGTACCGGACCGTCCAGCCCTCAGATGAGGATGCGGACTGGGTCTGCCACAGACGGCGTGACCCTAGTGTGGCAGACAGCCCAGGAGCTGCCAGAGTCGTGGCGGGGACGCAGGGTGGCTCCCTGGCTGTGCCCAGCCTCAGGCTTCCCGAGCCAGAAGCTCGTCCCAGTCCAGGGCCCTGAGGGACAGCTCACGTCCTTGCTCTCGGCCTTTCATCCATCCTTGCAGCAGCTAAGCTCCTGCCAGGTGCCAGGCATCTCTCCCCAACCTTTGTGTCTTCATTCTGTTTGCTTATTTACATATCAGCCTGAGTTCCTTGAAAGCACCGAGGTGCTCTGCCTGTTCATCTCTGCATTCTGGCCCCTGGTGGTTCAACAACCACAAAACTTTGTAAGATGAATGATTGATTAAACGAGGGCTGAAGTTAGCTGGGAAAGCTTCACCGAAGAGATGGTAAGGACTTGAAAAGGTAAAACTAAGAAAGGGGCCCTCCCTGGTGGCGCAGCGGGTTAAAGCACAGCACTGAGAAGCTAAAGCCAGTTCCGCATGAGTTCGATCCCCGCCTGCCCCGGAGGTGACCACGTGGCCCGGCAGACCTCTCCTGACCCGCCCGCTGCTCCCCTCAGCAGTGTACTTCGTCAATCTGCCTGTTCTGTCCCCAACTCTGTTTCTGGTGAAGCCTCTCACCACCCCTGAGCCTCTGGCCTGTACCCCAGTTCTGTATGCACAAATAAATAAATCTTTAAAAAAAAAAAAAAACAAAGGAAAGGGAAGGCTTTCAAAGGGAAAATGGTGGGGGGGGTGGGGAGGCCCTGCCATAAAGAGGGACAGAGGGGTCAACAGAACAATGAGGCCAGAGACCTTGGAGAGGGCAGTGTGGGGGAACAGGGGAGGGTCAGGGCGCCCCACCCCCACTGCCATCGCCTCCCCCTGGCTTGCCTCCCCAGCCCACCGAGTCCTCCACAGTTTGCCATCTTAATCCCCACTAGGATTTACTGAAAGCCCAGGATGGATCAAGCCAGTCCAAGTCAGGATAGATGCTGGGGGATTCCTGAGGAGTTCAGTGCTGAGGGCCAGAGCAAGCCTGCAGATGGATGGGCTGTCCTCATCAAGACCACCCCAGCCTGCCACTTCCAGGAGCCCTGCTGGGCAACTGCCCCTTAGCCAGTCCTTCCAAGTTCCCGGGAACTGGACATCCTGTCCTCCTTCGAGTGGCCCTGGCCTTCCTCAGACCTTCGGAGTCGCTCCAGAGTCATTGATGCCAATGGTGGAGGCCCCTTTCTCCCCATCATTGAAGACCCCTTTCTTTCCTATCAGAAAACCAATTTTGTCACTGGTTTCAAAGAAGATAAGCTCAAGACCTTACAGAGATTTTCTTTGAAAACTCTCACCACCCCTGTCTGTGTGTGCACCCCCAGTGACTGCCGCTGGACTGGGGAGCAGTGGAGAGGGGGAGGGCACACTGTCTGTAGTGTTGGGGGAAAAGGTGTCCGGAATGAACTCCACAAACGCGGGTTTTATGGATTCCACCCCCACCATGACCGAAGAGATCCAAATCGCCAAGGACTACAAATCCCATAATGCTATGATCACGAAAGGGAGGACCCGTACCTCCAGAGCTGTGAGAATAAACAGCATTTGGTATTTTGTTGCAGCCATCCAAGCAAACTAATACATGCCTCAATAGATAATTAGTACAACTTCACAAGTGATGCTATCAACTTCAAGTTCTTCGCATCCGAAGGTACAGAATGCCAGGTTGTTCCACTAATGTTCATTACTTGGTTAAGGTGACCCCTGCCAGATCTGAAAACATGAATATTGAAAACATTCATTTGCCATTTTGACAAATAGCAAATAACTAGTGGGACAAAACCTTAACCCCCTGGAATATCTTGTTCTTCAACAAGATATCCTCAATGCAGTATCATTTGTTGGTGACCTTAGCTTGAGTCAATTGTGTCTTTGAATATTGCAAAATGATAATTTTTCTAATTGTCTCTTTTCACATCTGTTGGCTAGTATTTTTGCAAAGAAAAGTTGTCTCTCATCAACAGGAATTAACTACATTTCCTCTTTAAAAGGCAAGGTAAATGTTGAATTCTTTCTTTTTAATTACTAATTTCCTAAATAAGGAATTGGCTCCACAGTCACCTCCAATGATGGTAAATGAGTTTCTCGCTGCCTCACAGTTCAGACAGTTATTTATTTATTTGTCTGTTTCCCTGCCTCTCCAGCAGTCACCATGGTCTGATGGGTCTCTATTTGTTCAGTGTTTTACAATCAGTTGTATCATATTCTTTTCCATGCTCAGATTGTCCCAGATTTGGCCAATGCTTTCAAATTCTAGGCCTCTAAGGAAATGTTAGAAAAGTGGGGCTTGGGGCTTGGGGTTGGGAGAGGTGCGGGGGGGGGGTCTCTCCAGAAGACCATTCTTAGAAGTCCCTGCCAGACACCAGGGATATGGGGTGGAATAGGGACGCCCCTGAAGGAAAACAACATGAGGCAAGATGAGGAGGGATTTCTTGAGCATGGGTTCTGTTTAGGGAATGAAGTAAACTGGAAAAATTAGAAATTGAACGCCCAGACCCCTCAGGTCTGCCCCTAGCGGGTCTCACCAATTTGCTCTGTGTCAAAACAAACAAACAACAAACCAGCAGCCTGCACCTCTGTGTCTTAGCATGCAGGTCTGCCAGGGAGTCTGGAGGACATACTCCGTGCAGGCTTGGTAAAGGCAGGAAGCACTGTCAGCGTGTAAGATGCCACCGGTAGGGTCTGTCCCCAGAAACCAAATATCACCATGAAGACAGGGAAGTGGAGAAGGAGGAGCACGTGTGTGTGTGAAGCACGTTCCTCACAGCTGAGAGTTGTGCAAAAGCCTAAGCACTACAACCTGGGAAGGACAAAATTGGCCTGAGGAAGCACCCAGCCTTCCCCCAAGTAGGCAGGAGACGATACATTCAGGTTCTCTGACCATGCCAGCTCTGGTACTCGGAGGCTGTGGGCCTGCTGCCCACTTACAGCCCACAGGGGCTGAAACTAACCAGCACAGCTGAATTGGGCAGAAGGAAAGCCAGAGGCAGCACCCAGTGTCCAGTCATGTTAGCTCCCCACTCGGAGTGTGCTGAGTTCTGAGGGCCTGTCCCCAGCCCCCTCCTCCTGTCGATTCTATTCCCACCCAGACTTGAACTTCCTAAAAGGCAGTGAGTGGCCTAAAGGCCTGATCAATGAAAGCCACTATAGTTGCTTCCTCCTGAGCCTTCAGATATGATGGCATCCCAAGAATGCCTGTGGGTCTCCTCGGAGAATAATAACAAGACCTCCCAGTTTCCTTTGGAAGGCGGTGGAGGCTTACATTGGATCACTGGATAGCTCCCATTCTCTCCCTGCTGTTCAGCCTCAGTTCTCCTCCTCCTGCACCCCACCCCCATTCCTGTTGTCCTTCCATTGAGGCTGGCTGTCAGGGTTCTTCAAAAGTCCATGGGACAAGCATTAATCTGCCTGTTCTGCTCCCCACTATGTCTCCAATGAATCCTCTCACCAGCCCTGCACCTCTGGCCTGTACCCCAGTTCTGTATGCACAAATAAATAAATATTTAAAAAAAAAAGTTGGGACAAGCACTTCTGTTTTTTATTACAAAGATGATGAAGCTGCATCTTCATGAGGTGCGTTGTCAAGGACCCAGTGCCCTGGGCCACAGCACAGCAGACCAGGAAAACCTAAGAGAAACCAAGGGGTGCGGGAGAGGGTGCACTGTGTCCTTTTGCTATACACTTGCCCCTGTAAAGGGGCCCATAGCTGTGTGTGGGGAGCTCTGTGTGTGTGTGCAGTTGGGCTCGGCCTGTTTGTGACTGTGCCAGACTGTGCACAGCAATTGTTTTGCAACAACAGGCAGAAATCACCATAAAGAGAACAGCTGCCTCCCAGACACCTCTCAGCTCTCTGGGTGATAGGGACCCCTCCTTGCCTGCACGCATCCTCGGCTCAGGTGCACACGTACACACCTCTTCCCACCCTCTCTTGGTGCAGACTTTTATACCTACTCTCTCTTTCGCAACCACTCCTTTAGGAAGTGAGAGCCCGACACTGCCCTCTCGGCCCTCACCACGCCCTCGCTCGCTTCCGAGGTGTCTCAGGCTGGCCCCCCCTTGCCAGGCATTGTGCTGCTGGGTGCTGAGTCGCTGCTCCACCGAGGGTTTCCCCCTCTCTCTGCCTCTCGTCCTTCACCAGGTCCCAGGCAAGAGCTGCTGCTTTCTATTCAGTTCAACTGATGTTACGCAGATTTACCTCCATTTTCCCAGACCCTAACAGATGTCAGGAATATGAAGATGAATAAGGCATCTTTTCAAAAGAGCTTAAAATATAACAGGGAACATATAGATCAATGGCGTGAAATTGACAGTCCAGGGATAAAGCCTCACATTCGCAGGCAATTGATTTTCAACAAGTCTGTGAAGACAATTCGATGGAGAAAGAATAGTCTTTTCAACAAATGCGACTAATGATGCAGGAACAACTAGAGAGCCACAATGAATGAAGTTGGATTGCTACCTTCTACCATATATTGAAATCAACTCAAAGTAAATCAAAGGCCTAAATGAAAGAGTTAAAACTATAAAACTCTTGGACAAAAGAAATAGGCACAAACTTCGTGACTTTGAATTAAACAGTGGTTTCTAAACAAATAATAAGTTAATTGGACGTTGTCAAAATTAAAAACCTTTGTGCCTCAAAGGACGCTATCAAAGTATGAAGGCAGACCACAGAATAGAAGAAAATGGTCTCAAATCACATACTAATAAGGGACTTACCTCTATGTGGGTCTGCTAGTGCTAAATGGCCTGCCTGGCCACCATTTTGTTACCTACAGTTCTGTATTCCCAAAGCAAGGTCAGAGCTGTCGGGTCACAGGGGCCCCACCCTACAAGGAACCCTTCAAAACAATCAGCAGAAAAACGCTGGGTCACCCTTGAAGGGCATGCAACACGAAGTATGACTGGGAACCCCGCAGGGGCTGATGACTGATGTATGAACTTACCTCCAACTTATACCTCATAGGGAATGCCCAGGTGGGAGGGGTGAGGGGGAGAGGGGCATGACTGGTATAGAACAAAGGACCCCAGAGCTGATCAGTGTAAGGCCTTGTTGAGAAGATTGAAGGCCTAGCTGGGGAACTAGGACTTGATTTCGATTACAATACCGAGTCTTCAAGCAGAGAGGTGCCTCTATAGCAGACTCACAGACCTTCATACTATAGATTACATTTCCAACTTTTCCTTTTTCCTGTTTCTTACTTCCCCCTACACTTGACATCGTATGATCATTTGATTAATATAAAAGGCAAGATCTTGTTCTTCAGCAGCACCCTGCATTATGTAGCCTGCTCCATGACTCCCGTTTCTTTATCAGTATGGTGTTGCTGATGCAACATACCTAGACTATATAAAGAGCTGTTACAACCCAAAAAGAATAATAACCCAGTTTAAAAATGGGCAAAGGATCTGATAGACAGTTCTTCAGAGAAGATATATAAATGGCCAATAAGCACATGAAAACATACTCAGATCATTAGTCATCAGGGAAATGCAAATCAAAACCATAATGAGATACAGTTTCACACACACTAGAATGTCTATAATCAAAAAGACAGATGATAGCAAGAATTGGTAGGGATGCAAAGAAATGCAACCTTCATGCATTGCTGGTGGGAACATAAAATGGTTCATCCACTTTAGAGACAGTCTGGCAATTCATCAACTGGTTAAACATGGTTGCCATGGATCTAGCATCAGGTATATGAAAGAAAAATAAAAGTACATGACCCCTATTCCCACCCCCCAAAAAACACTTGCATGGAAATTTCCATTACAGCATTATTCATAATCACCAGAAGTGTAAACACTCCAAATGTCCATTAGCTGAGGAATGGATAAACAAAATTTGGCATGTTCTTACAATGGAATATTCTTCAACATCAAAAATGATAAATGCTGCAACATGACAAACCTTGAGAACATTATAGGAGCCAGTCACAAAAGACTAAAACTATATGGTTTCATTTAAGTGAAATATCTAGGCTGGGCAAATCTCTAGAGACAGAAAGCAGGTGAGTGGTTCCTTTGAGTTGGGAGCTAGAGGTAGGAAGGGAATTTGGAAGTAATAGCTAAGGGTAAAGCATTTCTGTGGTAGATAATGAAAATGTTCTAAAATTGGTTGTAGTGATGAATATAATTCTGTGAGTCACAATTCTGTAACTACACTAAAATAATTTGCACTTAAATGCGTGAATGGTATGGCATGTGAATTATATCTCATTTAAGCCGCTACAAAATACAACAGGTGGAGTTTCCTTCTTGGAAGACAGAGTAAATATAGATGTACTTCTTTCTGTTCCTCTCACTAAGGACACCTGGAAAACCGGCTATTACATGTAAAACAAACATACAAGTTCTCTGAAACATGGAGACCTCAAGACACAGGACTGACACAGTACTGCTTTCCCTGGTTTTCTTTTAGCTCAGATATCCCAGATGAGGTGATGAAGAAGCTAACAATCTAAAAACACTAGCAAGTACAGACAAAAACACAAAAGCCTGCTCTCTCTAGTTAGACAGATAACTGCCACAATAACTACACTCCACTACAACTATTATAAGGGGAAATCTACAGCTCCACCCTGCTTATGCCAGCAGAGGCCAAGGGAAGAACCTGGATTTCCACTGTTGCAAGACTTGAAGGAATTCACCCTACACCCATGCCGGGGTTGTGTCTGAGACAGTCGAGGAGGGAGCTGGGATTTTCATTCCGACAGCCAGTAAAGGCCCCCAACCTCATCACCACCTTCAGCGTCAGTGGCGATGACAGAAGAGAAGAGCACGAGCACTCACCCAGTAGGAATGAGGTGCGCCCTAAGGTGGTGCCAGAGGTTTGACGGAGGATGGTTAGCACTGACATCTATCACTGCCATTGGCAACAGGCCAGCCCGGCATGGTATTGATGAAGGTCGTGTGGGGGCTGGGCAAACCAAATCAGATGTACTTCTTTCTGCTCCTCTCACGGCTGAAAAACCTGGATATTACATGTAAAACAAACATAAAAAGTATGTTTTTGATGTTGAAGAAGATCCCATTGTAAGAATATGCCAAATTGTGTTTATCCATTCATCAGTTGATGGACATTTGGAGTATTTACACTTTTAGTAAGTATGAATAAATTACCAAAGACCGAGTAGGAGAATGGTACTTCTTTCTCCACGTGGCAGTAACAACAGAGAGACCGTAGGTTTAAGATCCAAAATCTTGCAATGTGAAAATGTCAAGGTTTTGTTCAAAATCACTTATTATACTAAGATGATCTCAAACTGAACAAAAAAAAGAAATAATTCATCACCAGACGATAGAGATTATCTAACAAAAATTTTAAAGTAGTAATGATAAAAAATGCTTTAGTGAGCAATTAATTACAGACTTGAGACAAATGAAAAATAGAAAGTGAGGAAATAGAAGATATATAGAACAACCAGAGGGGAAATTTTTTGAACATAAAAATAAAATAAACTAAAAAAAATCTTGGCGTTTCATGGAACAACAAAAACCTCAAATAGCCAAAACCCTCATGTCTAAGAAAAAGCAAAATGGAGGCATTACAATCCCAAACTTCAAGCTGTACTACAAAGCCATAATAATCAAAACTGCATGGTACTG